TCGTGAACGTTAATGTTTACATCTATATTTGTCAAAAGTGAAACCGTTTAACGGCACAGATATCGCTGTAAACGAAATACGTAAACGTGATTTTCTGTTAATTACAGAAATTTTGTAGTAATTTTTGAGATTTACGTAAATTCTCTCAATATTTGAGGTTGACTTCTATATTTCTATAGACTTCTAACTTAAATGTTTCATACGAATGTTTAAAGAGTTTACGAAATTTCGTAATGATTACCAAAATTTTGTTACCAATGCCGACTACTCACTCAAAGATTCTTAGTTAGAAAATTAAATAAATCGACAGCGGAAGTAGCTAGCAATGGGCTCTCTAGAACTTCGCCAATTGCCAAAAATATCATTGGTAAAAACAAGAATTGGCGATAAGACTCTATACCCTAGCAATGCATGGGTTTCTCTAGATGAGAGCTGTGGACAGTAGACATCAATTTAAGGAAGTTTTAAGGAATTAAACAATTATTCACAAAATAGTTAACTTGTGTAATCTCTTAAAGAGAAGACACATTTTCCAATGCGATCTGAATGAATGAAGCAGAACATTTCAGCATTCCTATCGTGTTAAGAAGTATTGCGATTAGCCGTTGTCACAAGAGGAAAAAAAGCAGACTTCTGTAATTCAGAAGTACGGAAGTACCAAGACGTACAGAAATTGATCAATCGTCTATTTAACACTCTTTTACGGGATAACAATTATTTTTTATGAGGTACATAAGTAAATAATATTTTGTGCATTTCTACCTTGTAGTTCTTTCCGAAAATAGTAGCCAAATTCTGTGCACTCTTTAATCAAATAACGTGTAAAGAAAGATATTAAGCAAGCTTTATTAACATGGTTTTGCTTAATAAACCTGACAAATGGAAGTAATATGTTTGCTTTTGGCTGCCACCATTGTTTCAAAGTGAAGAAAAAAAATTAATACTCGCTTCTGTTTAACTTGTAACTTATGTTGAGTTCTGTTGACGATTACAATAAGAAAAACGTGTTCGCTTCTAGTATGACAAAAACACCATAGTTGCATGGTATCTACCTGTTTGATGCATGATAGGATCCATGCAAAACTTGCCGATGGCAACGATCAAGTGTGGTTTTTTTGGCTGTAATGCCAAGATTCGTTACAGATAAATCACCGATGAATGTTTTTCGAATAACTGCTTGTACAAGTAATACTTAAAATGGAGGTATGTGTGTTGATAAGTGACAAGGTGGCACGTATTCGGGTCAAATGAAAGCTCTCATTACCAAACTAACAAGGTTAAAATATTAGTGACTCTTGACTTGCCTAGAGAGAGATATTCGATTTTTACGGTACTCACAATTTGGGTATATAGGAACATTATGATTATTTACATTAGTTTTTTATGCAATCAGTTGAGTATTTCAATAGTAGGCTACAAGAATCTTTCTGAAATTTATCAATAGCATTAAGATCACATTAGTTTCTATGTTCTCTGAAACTTAAGTAGCATAGAAATGAAAAATTATATATGATGTATTTGAAAAATGACTTGTACGTATATAATATTTGATCTTAAAGTGCATTGATGCATCTGCTTGGTGGTCTATTGACCACTTCTTTGCAATTGATGTTAATAAATCACAAAGAAATACACTATCGAAGAATTAATCTCTTTTATTTTCTGTTGTATCAACCGGTTAAAAACGTTTATTTCATCAAATAAGAACATGAATTTATCGAACGTTGCTAAACATTTCCTATATTTGGCTAAAAATGAATATGGATCTGAAAATTCTGCAACAGCTACCGATCAAATGTTTGCTGCAGAACGATTATTCGAAGTTTTGAAGTCATCTAAAAATAGCTACTTCAATGAGCTGTATACTCATGATACTCTCGAATTTAACGATGAATATGATGAAATGACTGATGAAGGAGAGAGCAATGATGAAATTGATGATTACAATGAGAATGAACATTCTGATATAAAAAATCGTTTTACATTACAAGAAATGGAAAATATAATCGAATGGGTTGACCAACATCCGAATGCTGGGCTTGCAACTATTTCACATCGATTTAAAAAGGTCAAATACATGTATTATATTACAGGGTTTAGACAATATATCGAAAACAACGGTACAAGATTAGAAAAATTAAAACAAATAAAAGAACTTATGTTCAATCAATTTTATCTGAAAAGAACCATTGAAAAAGAAGCCGTTCATGATGCTGACCTTGAACTTTATGCAATTCAAAAACCAAGAGAATTAAATTGAGATTCATTCAAGGCAGGCAAATGGTGTATCAATACTTTTAAAAGGGATAACGGAATATCATCAAGAAGATATAAGAAAATTATTACTCGGACTAAACCAAACAGAAAACTTTGCAGTTTAAATGGTATGTAAAATTTTGTTTGATCTTTAAATACATATGTCTTAATGTAAAATACATATATATTTTAGATGCTCAAAATTGAATTGAAAGTAAAAGAACTCTAATATCAAAGTATTCTTCTCATCAAATTTTAAACAGTGATCACTGTTCTTTTCAACAAGAATATGTACCACCAAGGACCCTTTCTTTTACTGGTGAAAGAACAACAGAAGTGGCTGTTAAAAAGAAATATAATAAAACGCATTCTTATATGTAGTTCAACCAGTTACATCAGCTAATGATCATTTATTAGACAAGTTCTTACTCATCCTTCAAGAAAAAGAAAATACATTCGGTAAAAAAGTGCAAAAAACTTTGATCATACCACCAAACGTTGTAGTTAGAGCTTCAAAATCAGGAAAAAGCAGTGATGAAAAACATCACGTTTTTTTAAATTAAGTTCTACGTCCATTGGTTGGTAAAAAATTTCTTCTCTTTCTTGATGCTTGGAAAACTCAAGCTGATCTAACAAAATTTAGAGCAGTATTTCCTAATCAAGACAGTCAATTATTGATTTTTCCCGAAGGATCAACTGGTTATATTCAACCACAAGATCTTTCTTTGTTTTGTTCATGGTGATTTATTCATGAAAAAATTGAACATTATACTCATATTAATCAAATAGAAATGACTATAGATAATCGTCAATATTTCATCAACATTCATTCTATTATTCACTATCAATGAGCAGCTCCACAATTTAAAAATCTCATTAAGAATGGATTTATACAAGCAGCTCAAATAACAAATGAAACAATTGGACAAATTAAAAAACCAAAAGATGTTTGCTTCAAATTTTATGATCTGTACTGTTCAATCAACAAGTAACGCAGCGCAAACGCTGCTAACCCTCTACTGAAAGAATGAGTTGCATTGAAGATAGGATATTAGAAGTACTAGATGCGAGAAACGATTCGTTGACAGCACGCTAAGGAGCAGAATGAAACAACCCATTATTCTAAAAGATATTGAAATGTAGATTCCCCTATTCGGTAATCCCTGCGGAAAATGCATATTCTGAGCATGTCCAAAATATGCTTTATATCCCCATGATATCTGATATCATCAACATTCAGCGTACTCGCCTTTTCCAGCTGAATATTCTTATAGAATTATCTGTAGTCTGATCAATGTGTTAGTATCGCTTCCACGAGTTTGAAAATGTCTGAAATTTGAAACGAAGGAGTCGAAAATGACAAAAAGGCCTGTGTTAGCGCCTGAAAAGAAAATGTGCTTGCAACAAGATGAGTATTGAGATCTCTGGCTCCAAAAAAGTCATTTTTGTTACTTCTGTTTCATGAAAAAGTCTGTTAGCGCAGCTCCCTTTATGGTAAAAATATAGAACTCATATATAATCTCTAGCCTAATTAAAATAAGATGTAATCCATAAAGTGATCGATCTCTCGTATATTATAGCTGCTTTGCAGGATAATTGATATTCAGAGTAACGACTTCTCTAATTTTTGCATTTCAAAAGAATCTTTAAATTCTTCTATAGGTTCTCTATCTTTTTGTTTCCATTGTTGCTATTCTCTCATTATTTTTTATTATTCTTATTTTTTTGTTAATTTAATATTCTTATTATTATAATCATTGAGTTAATTGACAAATATGTTTGTTTTACATGTTCATGATATTTACAGCAGGCCTCAAGCACTATCATTTCAATTAATCAATTCACAAATAGTAATATTTATTATTTTTCAAAATTATAATGTCATCCATGTTGCAAGAAAAACCTAGAAAATGTGATATCTGCTGTTCTCCGTTATTACGATCTGTAATGGAGAGAGATGTAGCAGGAATGGGGCACCATCAAAACTTGCTCTTTAAACTTGCACTCATCATGTTCTTCGAAATATATATGACTTCTACAAAACTGACTCAGACGCCTAATTATTTACTACAGTAGTTTAGTTTTTCTCTCTTGAGCCATTTAAGGTGAACAAATATATTATTCCCTTTTTTTTTCTATCTGTCTCATGCTCTTTCTTTAGAGGGGCAACATCTACATAGCTTTTGCCTTAACTCTTACTCACACTCACATTGCACCCAATAAATCTAGATCAACAACAAAAATCTGTTAGCGTCAATAATGATACGTGTGACGCTATATCAAGATTAAGATTTGCTTTCTAGTTTAAGTGGATTAGGACATTCACGCAGATAGCAGGAGATTTGGGCTCGAGTCCTACGAAGATGGTCTTTTTCTTCATTCTGTTTGTTCACTGCATTTATAATCGTATGAATCATATTTGATGCTTACAAAATCGTGTGGCTATTCGACTGCGCACAGCAAAGTAAAATGACACGAGCAATTCTATTTCACTACGAATTGGATAACCTACGAAGGTAAAGATTTTATGAGTCGAAAATTTCCGCTTTCGTAATTTCATACCGTGACTATATACGATCTGAATTCGGTTCAAAACGGCTCTGCTATTATAGAGCTAAAGCAAATTCAGTGTGAGTACTAATATGCGATATAACCACTAAACCACACTATACTAGTTATGATTTACTGAAGATTATGCAAATGAATTCTCAAGATGCTCGAAAACTTTGATCGATACTTATTTGTCTGTCTAAAATTCTCGGAGATACATCTCTTACTATAGACAAATGAAGGTATACCGGTTGTGAAAATATTGCAATAGATATGGATATCTGAATACGCAGCATATTAGTTTCGTATTTCTGGTAAACTACTAGCATGGATTCAAGTACTGCTACTCTGAAATAAAATAGTAAAAACAAAAATTTTCGTTATCAGTATATCATGACAAGCGAAATTGAAACTTAAAGAGAAACTGTATTTTAATTTGAACTCAGTTGTTCATTCTTTTAAATATTTAAAAGCCATGTCTAGATAATGTTTGGCTTTTATAAAAGAATCACTGATATTCATCTATCAATTCAAAAGCTATGAGGAGTTTTTTGACAGCTTTGCAGATTCGAATAGGTGGTTGAAAAAGAGATATCAAGTCTCGTTCCTATTGAGTGTGAGTGCGAGGATGGATGTGAGCGTGGGTGTGGTGCCGATGTAGCTGTGGCTATGAGGGTCCGGGTGCTTATGTAAGTTGAGTCAAGACTAGCAACCACATCTACACCCACACGCGTGTTTGTGCCTTTACATGTCTGAGTGTGACTGTGGGATCGATGCCACGTCGCGATTGCGAGTGTTCTCTTCATTGTGATTATCACTGAAGCCGTCACTCCTATCCCTACCCAGGTCGAAATAGCTATGTCGGATCCTGTCGGATAGGTTTCAAATCCGTTGAGATACGGCTAATCGGATTCGGTCGGTTACTTTTTGTCGGATTCCGATGCTATCTACTGTTTTCCTTTGATATCCGCCGGTCGGATTCATCGAGCTCCGACTAGATTCATATATTCGGAACTGGTCAGATCCGATCTCAAGATCTGTTCGCTTCCGATGGGATTCCGGGGAATCTGATGTCAAGAAATGGCCGGATTTTGCGGTTTCAAATGACACCGGATTCCATGATAAAATCAATCAATCACTGGTATCGGGACTTGTCGGATTATATAAGAATGCAGAATACCCAAGCCGATCTCACACCATCGGATCCGATGGAAATTAGTCGGAAGTTGTCGGATGTTGGAAAGTGTCGGATTTTCAGAGTTCCGACAAGATCCCGGCCACTTCCGACACTTTCCGACATCCGACAACTTCCTGTCGGAAGCCGATACCAAGGATTCCGACGAATTGCCATCGGATTCGATAAAATTCGATAATTTTTCCGATAGGATCCGACGAGATCCGACTGTCAAATTGTTCGTTCTGGGTATCCAGTATTATTTTCGACGTAGTCAGATTCATGAATTAGAATATATTCTGACAGATCAATCAGCTAATCATCTAATAAGATGTTTCTCTTTTTACAAATTTTCAACAACAAAATCAAAAATCTGGAAATCCGATTTCGTCCAGATTTCATTCACCGTTTTGTTTTACAGATATCGGTCTATATAAGGAAGTCTCTACTTTAATATTTCGAATGAATTTCCAAAGTGTTGCTCAGATTAATTTTACTTCAAATGATTTTTTTTCCTATTACAATTCTGTTTTCCACGCAATTGGATTCATGAATTAGAATATATTCTGACAGATCAATCAGCTACTTAATTTATTTATTGGATATTCCTATTTTTACAAATTTCCAACAACAAAATCAAAAATCTGGAAATCCAATTTTGTCCGGATTTCATTCACCGTTTTGTTTTACAGGTATCGATCTATATAAGGAACTCTCTACTTTCATATATCAAGTGAATTCGGCCATTTTGTATAACTAAGTTATATATATTAGGAACAATCTTAGTACAAGCATTGTTCAATTTTAAGAAGGATCGTAGTATATACATTGTTGGATTCTAGGAATAATCCTAGTGGAAACAGTTGACATCCTTTAGACTCTTGATGACATCCTGATGCAGTCTTTAGAAATTTTGATAACATCCTGGTGAAATCTGTTCAAAATGTCGATTCAATCTTTGGAAAATCTTTAGAATTCTTGATGAAATCTTTGAGAAATCTTGATGAAATCCTTGTGAAATCTTCAGAAATCTCGTCGAAATCCTTGAGAAATCTTTATAAATCTTGATGAAATCCTTGGGAAATCTTCATAAATCTTGATGAAATCTTTCCGAAATCTTCAGAAATCTCGATGAAATCTTTGTGAAATCTACAAAAATCTCGTCGAAATCCTTGAGAAATCTTTATAAATCTTGATGAAATCCTTCGGAAATCTTCTGAAATCTGGATGAAATCCTTGGAAATTTTGAGAATGCTAGAATGAAATCTGTGTGAAATGTT